TGAATTTAAATTTAAAGGTTTAATTTCATGTTTTTTTAATTTTGAGAAGTTTATATTTCATCCTTTGCCCTTATAAAAAAATAATAATAGGTACTCTATCTATTTAAAAGTGTAAAACAATTTTAAACTAAATATTATCCTTCAATAAAGCAATTAATTATCTTTAAACTAATGTTATTTTTTACATATTTATCATTATTTAATAAAATATTTTATTTTAAAATAAATATTATAAAGTGATTTATTTATCATGAATATTTTAAAAAAACATATTAATTACACTTTATAATATTAAAAATATCTTACATTTTTTAATATTTAATTTTTTAAAAAATATTTTATATTTTTTAATGGAGAGAGTAATAAATACTTTCATGCACAAATACTATTTTCTTTGTTATTAAAAAATAAAAAAAATTAATCATTTAATTTCAGTAGTTATGACTTTGTTATAATTCAATTAAAATTTTAATTTATTATAACTCAATCCTCATATTTTTTATTTAACCACAGTGTAGTCTTTGAACTTTAACTTTATACAACTTGGTTTTTATTGCTTTGACTGTTTAAAATATCTATTCCTATATTTTAAAAAATAAAATTATAAAGATTAATCTTTCAACCCTCTTTATGTTTAGATTGTTTTCATTAGACATAGCATATAAATGAGATACCGTCCAAACGTACTAATATATAATAATTTGTCTGAGCAAAAAGCAAGTATACAAATTGAGAGTGAGGATTGAATATTGGAACTCCCGTGGATATTAAGTCCAACGAGAGGCCATTTCATGATGAAGTTGCAAGATGCCTCAACAAAGAAAAATCCAAATCCATTAAAGAGGGGTGAAAATAAATTATTGATGTTACATTTTCTCACTTTGCCCGTATTGGTGCTTCACTAGTCAGCATTTCACTACTACATTTTTTGTGATTCGCAATCTGTGACTCCCAAAGTGCTCCCCCTTTCTTCTTTCTTTCTTTCCTTGTTTTTAATTTTATTTTATAGAAAGTGAACTATATATATATACACATATTGAATTCAAACAGATATTTTCTAAAAAATATAAATGTCTCAAAAATAAAAAAAATAGTTTACAGTTTAATATAATCTTAATTTTAATTTAACGCGCTAAATATGGCTCTAACCTATTTTTTTTTTTTTTATACAGGCGGAAAACACTCTATCATATGCGACATGTTTTTGTTTTAAGAGAAACACGGTCACATTTTTAAAAAAAGCTTTACAGTTTCGACATAAATTTAAAAAATATTAAAAAATTTGGAATGGGCATGTAATCAATATAAAATATAAATCATCATCAATATAAATTTTAATTTACATGCAGCTTCGTTATTCATTAGCCATTAATTATATAGGTGACCTGCTATTTAGATTTGATGCTAACGTGACAACGCGAGGCTCCCATAAAATACAGAGAAGAGTGATTCAAAGAATAAAAGTCCGCATAAAATTTACTTTGCTTTATAATAATATTCTCACAACACTACACATAAAACCATTTAATATTGATTGATGATTCAAAGTTGAAGCTATTGTAACCTTGTTATATGGCGTGTGCTCACCATTAGCGAGAAGGGTCCCATATTCATCGACCATTTTTAACATCTTCAACTATATATATATATATATATTTTTTTTTTCCAGGAAATGGCTTGAGCATATCAGCATGACGCAGGCCAGAGGCTAGAGCCTAGGAACAAGGCCAAAAAAAGAAAAAGGTTAAGGTTATTTTATTTACGATTCTTAATTATAAATCAATTTTATTTTTTAAAATTAGAAATTCCCTCACTCGTTATTTTGTTGTTAGAAATACTTAATATATGTTTATCAGAGTCTCACTAGTTTTTAACATTTTTTATTAAATTAAGATTTATTTTTGCTCCTCCATTTTTACCTCAAATGTTTGTGGTTACTATTGATTCAAATATTTTGTAATAACATATTTTAAAAAAATTGTAATGTGAGGTTCGCTAGTTTAAAAGTGAAGAGACTATGAGAAAATGATAAAGAGGCGAGAGAAAAAATCTTTAACAATGACTAATAGAATTAATTTATAATTAAATTTAAGATACTCAATAATCATTTAGGCAAAGCTAAGAGATGAAAATAATTTTTGATTAAAAAATAAAAAAAAAGGTGTTAAGAACAATAGTGGAAGCACGGTCTGATACTCAAATTGATAATTCGAGCGAAGCTCACCCACTATTTTAAACAAGCTTGAGAAATGTGAGGGCCTTAGGGGTCGAGCTTAAAAAGAATCATACTTTTATGATGAAGAGCGAGGTGAATGAAAAAGGAATTGTGGCTGGAAATGAAAGGAGACATGGACAGAGACCAAGAGAAAGCGAGTGGATTAATGGAGGTTTTAATATGTTAATTAATAAAATTGATAAAGTTTAAATTAGTAAGTAAAATTGAAATAGATCAAAAATATTTTTTCAAGGTAGAAATTAGTTAATAAATTTTAAAAAGTTAGCTTGAAAACTTAACTCTTTTTAAAAGCGAACATTGGGGCAGTCTTTCAAAAACCAAAAAACCCTAATAATTCGGTCTTTTAACTAGTCTAAACTCTGAAAGCTCAAATTATTAAGATTGAGTTTAAACGGGCAACAATTCAAGCTTTTTTGAATTATCAGCTATACCTCATTATAGAATCAGTTTCGAAAAGCAAAATGAACCAAAAAATTTTGGTGTGACTATTATTAAAATATAAAATAAGTCTCACATCTAAAAATAAAAAAAAAATTAAAACTATATAAATTTACAAAACATCTAACCAAATGATTTTATTTATTTTAATAAAATATATTATCCATAAGTATACTTATATATAAAAAATTTAACATTATATCACGAGCCATTTATTGAAAGATCAAAAAATCAAAAGTAGAAGAAAGAAGGAAAAACAAAAAAAAAATGAAAGAACGAGAGATAAAAGAAAAAAAAATAAGAGATTAAAAAAAAGAGAGAAGGAAAAGAAGGAGAAGAAAAAGAAAAAATTAAATATAAAAGAGGTTTCTCAAAATAAAAAAAGTACAAACTCAAGTAAGAATAAGAAGATGAAAAAAATAATAGAAAAAATTGTAGAATATAAAACAAGTTTGATATCTAAAAATTAGAAGATATATTAGAAATATATAAACTTAAAAAATTTTCAATCAAATGGTTTAAATTATTTTGATAAAGCATATTATCTTTAAGTATATTTACATATAAGCAATCTAACAGCAATGGCCTGTGCAAGGGAGGAAAAACTCACAGCCAACGCCTTGGAAAAAAAATTATTTACATATAACAATTAATAACGAATGTTATTGGAGAAAAATAAGTTCAGGTTTTCATTTCAAACATAATACATTTGATATTGGACTTTGTCTACAAATAACTTTATTGCTTGGTCTTTGGATGTAATTTTAAAAAAATCTTTAAAATGAATTTATTGTGATTCACCAAGAAAAATCAAGTGAAAAATAAATTTATATTATTTATTTTTTGGTAAAAGATTTATGTTAGATATTAATATAGATAAATCGATGTTGATGTAAACGATAGACGATATTTTTAAATTATTTTTTAAAATATAATAAAAAATACCATTTAATTTATTTTTAAAATTAAATTATCTAATTACAAACAATGAAATACACAGAATTAAAGTATAATTTTAACGTAAAAATATTTTTGGAAGAGCCATGAGTCCCTTTAAAATTCTTTTTTTTTTTGTCAGCATGACCCCAAAAAAAGCAGAAGGCCGGAAGCTACAAAAGGAGGGTCTGCTAAAATCTTAAAGTTCAAATTTTATTACCACGAAACATCACGACAATTTGATATGGGTTCCAATCTCAACGTTCATTTGTTTTTTCGTTTAGAATGCGTTTTATTAAAAACTCATTTATTTTACTTTTCATAATTTTTTTGAATATATTAAATCAAAAGCATGTATTTAAGGTTTAAAAAGTGGTGTCCAAATCCAGACACTCAGTGTCATGAGCAAGATCCGCGATCCAATCAAGATATGCACCAGCACAGCTCGATAAAATTGGGAATTTTAATAACCATATTTGAAACATACTTATTTAAATTTATTTTTTTTAAATTTTTAAAATTTTATTAAAATTCAAAAATATTGATTTAATTTTAAAATTTTAAGAGAAATGATAAAATTATTTTTCATTTAAATTAATATTAGATCTTTCTTATTTTATTTATTTATTATCCTATTTCACTTATTAATTTACTAATAAAGTATTGTTTATTACCTTACTTAATTTATTTTCATTTAACGTGTCTAAATCATAAAAATTTATTAATTTTCATGCTATATGTTATTCATTTATTTACAAACTAATATTCATTACTTTACTTTACTTAATTTTATTTTAAAAATATGAATAAGTAAAATAAAAAAATTTTAATATTAATTTAATAAAGATAATTTTATTACTGTTTTAAAAAATTTAAAAATTCAGAAATTTTAAATTTAAGTAAATATATTTCAAGAATATTTATGGAAATTCTTCCTCGAAAAAAGAAAAATACTCCTGAAAGCAACTTGAATACTGATACAAATATTTTCACTGTACTTCCCTTGAACATATTCCTGCGTGGTCAAACATTCAGGATAGCGGCTATTCGTGGATTTCAAAGCACCTATTAAATCTAATTTATTTCCGCTGATTTTTTATTATTTTATTTTATTTTCAATTACTCACAACCCACGTAAGCCACATGACGGGTGGGCTAGGTTGGACCCCCTGAACCGAGACGCGTAAATCGATTCATAAGCCACCACGTGTACGGCTGCGATGACGTTCGAATAATTAAATGGTCTGCGCGATTCTCGATGGGCCAGCTCAACAACCACCACACCCAATGCGTATATACGGTGTACGTGTACGCCATCCCCCATATACGACACGTGTATGGTGACGTGGACATCGCCTTGGCACCCTCTTTCTCTCTCTTCCCTCCTCATCCTCCTCCTCCTCCTCCTCCTCCTCCATCACCACCTCCCCAACCTTGTGTCTTTCTTCCCTCTATCAAAGCAGGGCTCCTTTCCCTCGGATTTTAGAGAGAGGCAGTAGAGAGAGAGCGCATGAATGCAGAGAGGTCGAGTGAATTTCCCTTTCTTGAACGCTAGTGTTTTGTTCGGAGCTCGAGCTTACTGTTGAAACTGAGAGGATTTTTTTTTCGGTTCCCGCCAATAATTTCTGGGGATTTTGCCTTTTTGCTTTTTCTGGGTTTCCCATCGTCGTTTCGTGACGTTGAGAGCTTGGTAATCGTCGTGAGGTATGTAGAATTCGACGCTCTTTCTTGTTGAAATTCCGAGTTCGGCTCTCGAGATTTGATTTTGAATGTTTCTAGATTTGGGTTTTGTCTGATGTCTACGAAATTTCATGAGGGTGAGGGTAAGGGGTTAGCTCGGCTGCATTAATTGTGAAAGAATGTGGCAATTTGATTGTCTGGAATTTTCAAGTTTATTTTTCAGCGAGTCTTAACCGTGGGAGTTATGCCCACATGCAAGATGCGAAAGTTACCTGGTTTATTTCGATTTATTGTACTATGGAAACACAAAGCCGACCAACACCTACAATTTTCCGTTTTATTTGTTGCTGTTTGTTGCTCTAAACCCCACGGAGGATTAGAGTTTGGAGTCTCCTGGTTCTCCTTTTGTACCTGTTATAAACTTTGAGATTTTATAATTTCTGTTCATTGATTTGTTCGTATGAGCGCAATCATTTCATTTTTTTAAAAATGGTGATTCGCCACCCGCATCCAATTTTTGTATCTGTAGTTTCCAATAGTAAGGAGCTGAAGTTTGAAGGATAACAGGAGAAGATGGGGGGTGATAAAACCGTGGAATTGGATCGGAGGATTAAATCTCATAAAGCATAATCTTTGGAGGTTTCGATAGAAATTTGAGGAATTTTAACAGTCTTCTTACCACTCCCTGATCCATCTGAAAGTTAATTTCTGTTTGAAGGGTATATTTGTCATTTAGCTTTTGGTTGTCTTGTTGTGTTAGGTTAGGTTATTCTCTGTTAGTCGTGTCCTTGGCTTTTTCATTGGCTTGTGGGGCAGTAGAAAGACATAATTGACCTTCTACTGGTGCCTGTTTTTTTCATTTTGACTATCGTCCCTCGGAAAATCTCTAGCTTTTAAATCGATACTGATACTGATGTGGTTCACAATATATTCCGAAAATAATTCTAGATATCTTCTTCTTTTCTCTTAGAATAATGGTACAACTACAAGGACAGGTGATTTGGTGTTGTCTCACTTGGGTGGATCAATATCTTTGTCCAGCTTGGTCTTGAGTCTGTTGACGCACTTTGAAAAATTTTGGCGTTAAAATTTTCCTGTGTTCTTGTCTGGCTAGTCAGATTATTTAATGACAAAAGCTGTTCAGCTTAAAAAACCAAAGAATATCTTTGTTCCATTCCATGCTTGATTGATTATAGCAAACTCAACGCCAGGATCATACTTTATCTGAAACTTGATCCGCTTTGTCAACATCATGTTGAAGGTTTTGATATTACTATTCATCTTGGTATCTTGATTGTTGCTTCTTGTTTGGACTGGATAGTTATAAAAAGATTGTCTGCCTTGGGCCGGGGCCTTTTGTTAAAGACGGAGAAGGGACTCTTAGAACTGGCACATATTGGAAATTGCAGCCTTTGGATGACGTATTCTCCATAGTAGCTTGGAAGGTCAAACCGCAGAAGTTATTGTGTGATTTGTGTAGTCAGTTGTTAAGTGGGATTGCTTTTTTTGCTCTTCTAGTTTATTGCTCATTTATCCTTTATCATGAATTTTGCCTTGTTTGCCTTGCAACACTTATTTGTTGATAATGTCTAACATGGTTCCTATTAATCCAGCTTGTCCACTAATCAAGGAGTCGTGTGGATTCTTTCTGAAATATAGACTCTGCCTTCCATTTGGTGCTCGCCATGGGAAACAGTGAGGAAGGGAAGTCTGCTAAAGTTGAAAAGCCCTCTTCACCAGTGACAACGGTAAGCTGAAAAGTGAGAACATAGTGTCTGCACGAACAAATATAAAGTATGTGCCTAAATCTTATTGATGTACTTACCTTACGGGCAGGATCAGGCCAACCAGATCAACCCGACCAATATTCATCTGTATCCTGACTGGGCTGCCATGCAGGTTACCTACCTCTTACCCTTGTTTCCAATACTCTTGTCTATTATCGATTTGGGTGTTTATTTTGAGTTTTTTATAAGCAATTATTTTCCAAAAAAATTATTGTCTCAAAGTCTTGTGGTTTAACCTGTTGAAAATTGTTTCATTGATGGTAGCAATGTAGTTTTTATTCAATTCAAAGAGAAAACATAACCCGCTTGGTCTGTTTTGTAAATTTTCGAACATAATTGTCCCCAGAAACTGGATATGGTATTACGGTGATTAAAAGTGTCATCAATATCTTCAGGCATATTATGGGCCAAGGGTCACCATGCCACCATACTATAACTCAGCCATGGCTCCTGCTCATGCTCCTCACCCTTACATGTGGCCACCACAGGTAGCTCCACAAAGCATATTTACTTTATGTCATGGTTACCACTCTTAATTTGGATTTCCTGGACTATATCTTTGTGTAATTTTTTATTTGTTCTTTCTCTCAGCCTATGATGCCGCCTTATGGGGCGCCTTATGCAGCAATATACTCTCATGGAGGTGTTTATCCTCACCCTGCAGTTCCTATTGTAAGTCTACATTCTAGCACTGGAGGATTCCCCCCTCCCCTGCTTCAAAATTGGAGTACTTTATTATGCTTTAACCAAGGGTTTGTCAATTCAAATATTCTTTAGTTTTTCACTTATCAATCTGAACAATGGGCTGGAGAAGGTTGAGAAGGTCATGAGAATCAATGTTGTTGCCATCATTCTGTTTCTATAGGCCCTTGGTTACGCGTTCTAGGGTGCATACAAAATAATATTAATTTTTGCTTGCTTTGATATATTGCATGTACAGGATGAAGGACCTGTGAATTCATAACATCGTTTATTTATTAAAGCCCCTTGTTCTTCTATATGCTTCTCTGTTTGGAAATTTGTTTCATATCATGCTCTTATGAGTTATTTCGGTAAACATAGGGGCCACAATCACATGGTCAAGGAATTCCATCTCCCCCTGCTGTAAGATTTGATTCTCTTAGATTTCCCTCTACTCATGATTCTCGGAATGTCAGCAGTTTATGATGGTTTGACTTGCTGGAACATTGCAGGCTGGAACTCCTTTAAGCGTGGAGACACCAACCAAATCAACCGGAAATACTGACCAAGGCTTAATGAAGAAATTGAAAGAGTTTGATGGACTTGCAATGTCTATTGGCAATGGCAATGCTGAGAGTGCTGAGCGAGGTGTTGAAAATAGGCTATCACAGAGGTTTGTTGATCCCTACGTTCATTCTATATGTATACATCTATACGTGAATTAATAAATTGTTCTTAATTATTTTGAGGTTTGGATGGATCAAGTGGAGGAGAAAGCCTGACTTGTTTTTTCAAAGCGACTAGACTCCACTTCCTCTCCCTCCATCTAGATGATCTGTTATGAGTGTACTATTCTAGCATATTCTTGTTTCTAAGTGAATAATTTTGTGATGATTTGATCAGCGAGGATACTGAAGGTTCAAGTGATGGAAGTGATGGCAACACTGCTGGGGTGAGAACTATCTTGCTTTGCTATAAGCAGTTGTTTTCTTGCATGTTTCTAACTGTATGCACTATTAATATGTTTTGTTTAATATGGTTTGACAAAATTGAAACATTAAATTACGATATTTGCCCATCTTATGCTCAGGCTAATCAAACAAGAAGGAAAAGAAGCCGAGAGGGAACACCAACCACTGGTATGACTCTGTTCTTCACCAAGGATCACATCTTGATGAACAATAGAGTTGTCCTGGGAACACCATACTTCCGTTGTCACTATGATACACATAAAATCAACTTGGTTATTTTGTAGGGAATTCTTAACACATGCTTAGTAACTTTGAAATCACCATGTTTGAACTATTGGTAATGGGATGGACATAGAGGTTCACTTTTGTCATGTTCTTTATTACTTGATACAATCAAGTTTTGGGTGTCCTCTATTAGCAGTTTATTGTAAGAGGATATTATACTTGCCTCTCGTATGTGATGTATAGAGTAATGTCTAAAAAAATCTGGAGCTATTTATCAACATAATTCAAGTGCTGATTATTATGCTTTTCCTGCTGTTCAAGCAGGTGGAGATGAGAAGGCTGAGATACAGGCCACTCTACTTCCCAAAGAGACTGCGGTTTCCAATAAGTCGATGGCAATTGTACCTGCCAGTGTTGCAGGAAAAATTGCTGGACCTGTAGTTTCCTCAAGTATGACCACTGCTCTGGAGTTAAGAAACCCTCAGACTGTTCATTCTAAACCAAATCTCACAAACGTTGCCCAATCTGGTGCAGTGATTCCTTCTGAAGCTTGGTTACAGGTATGGTGAAGAAATTAATATAGGCTAGTTCAGATCATATCTAGATTCTTGTATGCTAAAGTTGTTTGCGTAATGCACTAGAATACCAATGCTGTGTCTTCAGCATTCGATTGCTCTGAAGTAATTCCTTGGGAATGTTTGGATTTCACAGAATGAACGAGAGCTGAAGCGAGAGAGGAGGAAACAGTCAAATCGAGAATCTGCTAGAAGGTCCAGGTTAAGAAAGCAGGTAAAGTTCTGCTGTTTTCTGAGTTGAAAATGTTCATCACTTGTTTATTAGCTAGTCTGGGAAATAGCACAAGACTAACCAGCTACCAAGCTTCATTAATACCACACATATAATTGGCTAGTGACTTATGCATGTGCTCATATCTCCTATGTTCAGGCTGAGACTGAAGAGCTTGCCCGAAAAGTTGAATCCTTGAATACTGAGAATGTGACTCTGAAATCAGAAATTAACCGTTTGAGTGAAAATTCTGAGAAACTGAGGGCTGAAAATGCTGCATTAATGGTACTGTTCTCCTAAAATCTGTAATATCTATATTATATACAGGTAGTTTGTGACACTAAGAACTTAATTGTTTTTGACATCCAGGAAAAACTGAAAAATGTGCAACAAGGGCAGACGGAAGAAATAGTTTTGAACAGCATTGACAGCAAGAGGGCTGCGCCGATAAGCACAGAAAACTTGTTATCTAGAGTTAATAATTCCAGTTCTAATGATAGAACTACAGAGGAAGACAATGATTTTTGTGATGACAAACAGAACTCCAGTGCGAAGCTGCATCAACTACTCGATACGAGTCCTAGGGCTGATGCTGTGGCAGCTGGCTAACAGGAAACCAGCAACCGTACTGGCTGATCGTGTAGTTTTGGCATATTATGGGCCCAAAATTACTATTGCTAACAGTATTCTGAGGGGTGGAACGGCTAAATTTTAGGATCTCAGTCCATCAAGATCAGAACTAATCCATTTGCTTATCAATTCCTTAGGATGAAAAGACTGTTATTTTATTAGATTTGACGAGCCGTGGATGGCATCCTTGAAAGTTTGTAAATTGTGGGGAATTAGAGGTTTTAGTTTAGAGGGTGTTTTTGAGTTAGTAAATAGTTGGTTGTGTGCTAATGATTGGGGCGAACCTTCTAACGGTATTTGAAGAAAGTTAATCTGACTATCATCTTTTGCAAGTGAAATTTATGCGTACGATTTGATATGTGTGCATGCAAGTGTTGATTTCACAATGGTAATTGGCTCATGCTATGTATGTTCCTTTCCGTAGGGATGAAATGCTAGTCTCTGGACTTCGAATTATTTTGAAATATATAGGGAAGATTGCAATGTAAATACTAAATACACATTCAAATTCTCCTTCAGGGTTGATTTTTCTTCTCTTTATTTCTTTTTGTTTTTGTTTTATTTTTTTGGTATCGAAAAGAGGTTACAGAGGTGGTGAATTATATCATTGACCCCACAGCATCCCTCTAACAAAAGCAATTTGAGCCCTACTATGAGGGTTGATTTAAGTTCCTCGAGTTACATGAGGAATTGAATTCTGAACCTTTTATCCCCATCCCCTCTTAAGCACTTTGTCAGTGGGTGAGGTGATAAATGTTGGCTTGGGGGATCACAACAGTGAAACAACACTGTACTGTGTCACCAGTCCATAAATGGACTCATACTGTAAAACAATACAATCACTTTACATCAGCAATATCCAAACTCCTACATTATAGAAGTTCAATTTTGTTTCACACAATTCTGAAACTCGGGTGCTTTTTTGTTTGCTTTTTTTGCGGTAGATACAGTCACAAGAGAAGATGATCATCCCGTGTACAACATAATGTCATTCTACTGTACATAACCTTCTTTTAAGACATCGTGCATGTCGTACACTCTCTTGTCATCCCTGCCTCCAACCTTGCACACATACAGTTCAGTGAGTTAATAATCAAATAATCATCTCCCAAAAAAATGTGATTTAAATCTTTATAGATGTGTCTGTTACTTTCTTTGTGCAAGCGCGCATGTTTTATCAATATAATCCTCTCACAAATTTTGAAAGTTCATTAATATGAGCTTCATGCAACATTGTCCAGCAGGAACATGTTGATGGATTTTAGAAATAACATTCATGATTTTGAATGGAAGTAGCAAGAAGAGATGAATAATGATGCAGCAGATTGCATATATTGTTGTGTGTAAAATGCAGACAGAATCTGTTTCCAAGATGCAGAGCTTCTAGCTCAGATGGATAAGCAAGCAATGTATGAAACCCTAACAAGAAGCAAAAGGAGAAAGGAAGGAAGAAAAAAGAGGCATCACCTTTCTGGCCAGAAAAAATACTGCTTCCACAGTGCCGTCAACATATATTGATCTACCCCTAATGCAAATTCGAAACTCAAACCGAGCTCTACATAAAGTAACAACACAAAGCATCACACGCTAGCTGATGAACATTGAGAATGACATAAGAAAGCTCATTTCATTTGCTACGTACGTTTCACCTGGTGATGCCAAATTATACGCATGAAGCTCGTGACAATCTACGTGATCCTGACCAATTATCACCATTTCTGGCTGTCGTGTGGGATCCCTGATTGATTCAATCTGGCAAATGTCATAGGAGAGAAATGAAACGGAAAAACATCACTAAGAACCCATCCTTCTTGGAAAAGAAAAAACACAGATCAAAATAATGCTTCGGTGCGGAAAAATTATTCAATTCATATTAGACTCCAGTGTTTTAATTTTTCCACATCAGAGATATTCATAATCATGCATCAGCACGAAAAATCTGGACACTGGGAAGAATGCAGATCAATATTTTCAATGAGGAACGTGAGTCAAGATCATATGCAGGAATAGGAAGCCAATATTATGCTAGGTTTTTTGTTTGGTCAACAATATATTACACTATAACCAATAGATTATACTACTTCAAACATTTTGAGAACCAATAGAATTTACTGGTATTAAGCTACAGATGAGACGCGTGTGATCACTAAGCACATGAAAAGTAAACAGAATGTCCGTATCCTGCTGAAGGAGTAATAGTTCGCGTGCTTGCTTAAAATGAATATGCCCTATACAACTGTAAGTTCTTTCTTAAATCTAAAAATTATCTAAGAATAAATTTGGAGTTTAATTTGAACCATACCATGCAAACAAGGAGCATAAAGGCGCAATGATGATGAAGAGGATCTCATGTTACGATGGAGCCATACAATGTGACCTAACGCACCTGAGCAATATTAAAAGGCACCCCCAGTTTATTGAAGAAAGAAATTGCAGTCTTTGCGGTCTCACTTATCTCAGCTCTGCTTTGATCCAGGGACTCCACAGCCTAGGATCTCAAGAGAATGAAGCAGATATCAGTGCATCAAATTGAAGTTCAAATAAAAAAAAAAAAGCACCACTAAAAGAAGAATTTATGAGAATTCACATTTTTTAGAATTACCTTCAAGGAATACCCGGAGAAGAGCATAGGAAAACGGTCAGCCATAATGTCTAAAATTCCAATAAATGCAACAGCCTAAAAGGACAATATAGAAGAGTAAGAATTAATGTTTTTAAAATCAGACTGGATATTGAAACAGAAAGATTAGTGGTTCATGATTCACATGGTCCAACCTAGTTGAACTAATGGTCGAACCAGTGACATAATAATTAAATTAAAAAATTATATATATATATATATAATAATCTACATATAACAAATAAATATAAAATTGTTACTTAACTTAAAAATAAAACCAAATATTTTAAGTTTATTATGACTTCACAAGTTAAATGATACAAAATAATATCAAATGATTAAAAAAAGTAGTCATTTTCTAAAAAAATTTAAAAAAAAAAGAAAAAGGTCATTTTTTAGCAGTCCAGTTTTTGAAAACCGGACTCAATTCCCAACTTGATCCCGATTCCCAATCTGACAGCCAGTCCAAAGTGGTCAAATCCAGCCCAACTCTTCAAACGGTTTTTTTGGCTTGACCAGTCGACAGTCCGACTGTCTAGTTTGGCCCGGTTTTTTAATCATTGGTAAGAATGACAGAATGGGTGGGATAAAGTTCACAAAACAGATATTGGTTCAAGGTTTTTAGTTCTGATTTACCTGTTTTGCCATTTGAGGAGATACGAGTGCATAAACCTGAGAGTCTTGAATGGTGTTAGCCAGCAGATTCCTGTCCCCACCGGTGGTCCCCATCACAAAGGGCACCCCATGCTTACAGTATAACTCTGCATTAGCTGAGAAAGACGAGAAGAGAAAAAATTGGACGTCACATAATCCATACATGAACTCATTAAATCAGGATTCTGATAATGTTCTTTTAATAAAATTCAGAATTCATGGATGGGAATTGCAGAGTAATACTGTTCCAAACATTCCATTTCTTAATTCCCCCTTTGAAAATGTGAAGAATTTAGTAGCTAGATAAATTTATACTTGTGAATGAGAGACACATCATTTATGAATTTGCACGTTTTATAGAAACAAATAATTGCGTTTCTTTGTAGTCCATGATGAAAGTTTAAATACACAAGGATGAAGTTATATACCATTAACTGCAGATGACACTGTGAAATCCACAACAATCAAATCTGGGTACACACTTAGTAGATATTGAAGAAATCTTTCCCTGTTAGCAGGACCTTGCACAAAGAACTTCTGTCCACGGACCTTGTGAATCTTCCCGGACTTCCTTTCACTGCAAAATGATACAGGAACAACGAACAGTCCACTACTTTCTGCTTCTTCAATGATAGCCTTCCCCATTTTTCCAGTACAAGCATTGACCTGAATTGGGCCAAAGCGTATTGCACTTCAGACAGATATATGCATTATATCCCAAAGCCTTGGAACTTGGAAGAGTCCCTTTGATCATGATTTGAAAGGCTTGTTAGAACCGTTTACACAATGAGAATGAATTCTGTTTACCAAGAAGAGGAAAAAGGAATTGTACTTCCTCCATTGTACTGAACAGAAAAGAATGCATACAAGGGACTTCGCTTATACTCTTTTTGCTGAAAATTTTTTTGGCAAGCTACATGTTACAAATCAGAGACCCTTAAATCAGAAGTTTTATTGGTTGGATTGGAGTTTCAGAAAAACAAATCAACAGCCAACAAATAATGGTCACTTACCATTATCGGGATGCAACCATTCGATGAATCCAGTGGATAATATCCGAGGAAGGATCGAAATTGTTTCATAGATATATCAGTAAGCAACGGATTATCCGTGGGAAGAGTCTGTGGCGTAGAGTCTGAGGCTGATTCTTCCGGGGAAGCCATTGATGAAGTTCAGTTGCGCACCCAGAGGCAGATGGGTAAAGAAAAAGAAGTGAACGGGGAAGAAAGAAGAAACGGGGAGTGCGAACTTTGGGAACTGAAAGCATGCTCAGCTTGGCGCCTTAGCCCCCTTATTCTGTTACAACAACCAAAGGAACTATGAAGAGCTTAATTAATCGGTGCCCGTGACCCACATGATCTTAGCAACAACTGTCATAACGGTCATTGACATGTCAGGCTGAGGCTCTGGGGAAGAATTTTTTTTCTCTCCCCAAAATCCTTTAATAAGATATGCGTAGTTCTATAATTTGATCATCTGAGTATCAATATAATCCATACATCAAAAGTGTAGGGAGGAGTATCATATCCACAAGCCCTGCTTTTAATAGTACAGCTTATTTTGGATTTTGTAAATGCAAGCACTCATCCTAGTCATTCTAATTAACCGTATCATTCAATAATATAATTAATTTTATTATTGTTAAGGCAAAAATATTTTTTTATAATTAAGACATGAAACGTGTGACTCATTTTTCAAATTTTGTATATGCTCCATTAAAAAAAAATTGTATATGCTATTATAATCAATTTATTCAAAAGTATAATTGATTTTATTATTGTTAAGTTAAAAATATATGAATTTTGAAAGCCATTTTCAACATCCTTCTGTTTTTTTTTTTTTTTTGCTTTTTTCACAAGACCAATTCATTTGGTGAAAATACTTTTTATAATCTTTATTAGAAGATGTATTTATAATTAGTATTCAATCATGTTTCAAACAAGGTTATCTTCAATAAAAAAAATCTAGACACAACAAAAAAATACATTGACTAAGTGAGTGACAACAATCATTTGTTCATAGCTATAAAGTAAAAGGGAGAGGGAAATTCTTTTAAAAAGGAAAAACTCGAATTCTAGCTTCTTAAGTAAGCAGATTACTGAGGAATAACATATACTTGCTAGTGAATAAGCCTTAATTAGGGAGACCCAATTTAGCGTAAAAAGTTTATTAGTTCAAGTTATATATATAAAAGAAATTTATAATCATAGAAAAGCAACAGAAAAAACACTTAATTGTTATGCATTTAATCATAACTTAGAAGTTTTATGATATTTTCGAGTAAAAAGCCAGACTTATTATGCCCTTTTAGAAAACAATTTGACCTTTCTTTATAATCAGAGAAAATTTTTTTTCCTCCTTTTTGCAAGATTGAATAAAAAGGAATATGATTAGGGTTGTGGAAGCAGAGGACAAATTCCGAGGCTCAAATCTACGATAAAATAACAGTAATAATGAGTGATTTTATACACGTACTCACTAGTTATGGATGACATTGGTACTGCTTAAGAGCAAAAGATCTTGAGAATTTTACAGCTATATCCACGCTAGTCTTGCAAGATGAATTGTATAAGTGGTTTTCGGAAGTAAAAAAAAAAAAGAAAAAAGAAAAAAGTGTACAAGTTGAAGTATTGGAAGTTGAATTACATGTACAAGTTGAAATTGCTTTATGTTACTGTAAGAACATCCAATGGTCCCATTCTTGCAAACCCTTCCTTGGTCTATACATACATGGCCAGTTTATTACACTACACAGTATACACTCCTCAAACTCACTGTGTAACCAAAAAAAGTGTGAGCTGAAGAGGAAGAAAATTGCTCCTTCAGAGTTCATCACACCCTTCTCTCTCTAGCATCACATCAAAGAAGTTGTATACTTTCTCGTCATGCTTCGATTTAATCTGCAATAACTTTCACGTTCAAATGCTCTTTCCCGTCATGCAATAACTTTCAAGTTCAATGTTTTATTCAAACTGTGAACCTTCCTAACAGTAAAGCAATATACTCTCTCCAATCTCATTTATAAGTAACATTCTAAAAAGTTTATTTAGTTCCATTTGTAAGTCCTGATATAATTTTTTAGATAATATTTAAAAAATATTTTCAAAATTATCTTTTATTAGAGAGAGAAAGCAACATGACATTATTTTTAAATTTATTGTGTATGGATATATTTAAAATTCTACACACTTTTATTCATTATATATATATATATATATTTTTTTTTTTTTACATTGGTACCGGAGGACCGGAGGAGTATAGCAGAAACAGAAAGTGTTGGTATATGAGGTGATGAAGGAGTCAGTACCTTCCTAGCAAGAAAATGTACAGCAGCAACTGTACCCTCTGTATACATGGATCTACCGTACGTGTCAAGCTGAAGCTGGAATTCTTCTCTGCATTCATGTTTATGAATGAGCAAATACATCAAAGGAAATGTGTGTGTGTGTGTGTGTAATAGTTGGTGATGACAGCAAATTTGTGAACAGATAAAAAATGAGAAATGATACATAAGAATGCTCGTTTCTTACGTTTCATCTGGTGAAAACCAATGGAACAAGTGACTTGAATGATCATGCAAGTGCTGCTCTGGCACTCCCAAAATGTCCTTCTGTTCATCGTGACTCCCCCATTCCGCCTAAAATATTTCGTTGGGAAGTGGAAAAGAAAAGAACTTCAAGTAAGAATCCATTGTTCATATCAGAGTTAAGTAGCAGCACCAACAAATATCTCAATCAAACTTGCTTTCCATAAATCTTGAAAGTAAAAAGCAGGATCCAGATCAGTAATTTGGACTACAGAAACAGGAGGTTTAACAAGCAAGGGGCAAGAAGATGAACGTTAGGATGATGTGCCAACAATGAACCATGCGGTGCATCTATAGCTGACAAACCTGATCATCATTAAAATCAACTCCCATTCTAGTGAAGCAAGGAACTATAGCGTTCACTGATGCACTAGCTTCGCTTCCTTGGTGGGAAACCAAAACCTATGATATTGGGAAAACGTATCAGATTCGAATATTATATCACACTGACTGAAGCTTGATAAAAAATAAGAACGTCTAAAAACAGTTTTCTAGACATAACACTTGTATGGTGAAGACTGGGAAGGAACACTTACAGATAAAGAATAGTCCTTGAAGGCTCCACGAAAAAGATCTGCTAATACTTCCATAGCTCCATGAAACGCAGCAATCTAACACAGCAGCATGCATGTACAAGGGATGATGAAAACATACTTTATTTTTTAAGAAAAATGTATTTGGATCAAGATTTTTAGTTATCAAACACCTGTTTTCCCATTTGTGGGGATATTAGTGCATAGACATTTGAGACGTGGGCAGTTCTAAATAAAAGGTCTCTGTCTCCACCATTGGTCCCCATCACGAAGGGCACCCCAACCTTACAGTATAACTCCGCATTATCTGCATTTGGAGAAGAAAAACGAAAAGAAATAGCAAGGATGCCACTAGGTTTTCATGAATGAAAACATTAGTCTGATTATGTGAGGATGGAGTTGTTGGATATCTCTGGTTCTTATTCAAAATTCATACCATTGACAGCGGAAGCCACTGTGAAATCCACGACAATGAATTCTGGATATTTGTTATGGATGGCTCTAAGAATGTTTTCCCTATCAGAAGAAGGACCTTGCACCAGAAACTCCTTCCCGCAGACCTGATAGGACTTCCCAGACTTCTCTTCACTGCCAAATGATACAGGAACTACATGCAGTCCAGCGGTTTCAGCTTTTTCAATGAAAGCCTTGCCCATCTTTCCAGTACATGCATTCACCTGGATTGGAATCATCGTAGCATGCATGCTGAGCTTAGTGATTTGAAAGTAATATTTCTATACATGCCAGTGTGAATTGTGTATATTATTGCTCAAGAAGAAGTTAAGGTTGTTCCTACTCATTATGAGGTTATATATAGGCTAATGATCCAATTTCTGAGAACAAGATCTTCCACTGACAATAATAGAAATGATGTGAGAGTAGTACCCCGAGAAATTAGTGTACTTCTCATCGATCGCCGAGTCCCAAGTTCATATGTGCAATTAAAATTAAAATCATTGGATTCAAGTGCATTTGCGAATAATAAAATAATATGCTCCTTCAAGGTCGATTCGGACAGTGCATGCACATAATTCATAAGCAGAATCCCAAAACATTCAGAGGGAATGATATGAGAAACGTCAAAGAAAATAGCAGATACCAAAAAAAAAAAAAAAACCCTTAAACAAGATTCATCGAGTCGATCGGAGTACCAGAAAGTTAAAAAAAAAAAGAAAGAAAGAAAGAAAGAATAAGACAAAAGCGACTATGTATATGGGGATGAAAACCATTATTTGCTTCAGCATGCTTGTTAATTATTCACCATTATGGGGATGCGATCCGCGACAGAGGAAGGCGTCGGAGAATTCTGGAGAAATGTCAGAACGATCTGAACCGATTGTTCTGCCATGGACCAAGAAAGAAAGGATAGCGAAGAAGAACAAGAACGAGAAAAGTGACGCACAGGCAGAGAGAGAGAGAGAGAATATGTGTATTAGCAATGCCTCTGTCACGTTATACACATTGATGACAAACCATTGCAATGAAACTTGACCTAATTACTTCCCGAAACGGTGATAACGGCCATTGACCCCACTGGAAGCATACACAAACCACCTCATCAGAATTTGGTGTCTCCAGAAATTTGTGAAGCTAATTTTTTTTTTTTTGGGTGTAGGAAGATATTCCACATATAAGTTCATCGAATTATGAATGCAGTTTATTATTTAAACTCTTACAACGCATGAAGTCCTCCTCATTTGAAAAGTGATGTAAAAACAGAGATTAAAAGTAAATGAATAAATTCAATCTCCATTTGTTATTCATTATGCTTTTCTACTTTATAATCAGATTAATATATAATTTAAACCTTTAACTATAAATTTAGGGACAATTTAATTATTAAACTTTTAAAAAATGCATTCTAAATTTTAAATAATTAAAGTTGACAATTCTATCCTCACTATTAAAATTAAGTAAACATCTGTCAATTTTTTAAAATTGAAACCTAATATGTGATTTTCTTCAAACGAAGGTAGAGGAGGGAGGGAAGGTATAATTTGGTAAAAATTGCACCTTATGCCATAATTTTGGAAAAACTAATAAACATTTATTTAAATTTTACAGTAGAAGCAAAATTGCTTTAATTTTAATTGTTTAAAATTCATAATATATCTTTTGAAAGTTTAGTGTAGTTCAAATTGTCCATAAACTTATAATTTAGAATTTAAATTGCATATTAATTTTTAAAAATATTTTGTAAAGTTTTGCATTCTAAAGATTTAGCTTACATCTCTTTTGCTAAAACACAAGGATGTGTTAAAATGGATTGTTACAGCCATAATAGTCTTATTGAAAATTGTTGTTGTTGTTTTTATTTATCAAAAACTTGAATTATTTTGAATAACAAAAAGATGGAAAATATGAACCTGAAGTGCTGGATTTATTTTATTTTATTTTTTTAAAATTTTTCATAATAATTTTTAAAACTAAATTTATATTTTTTTCCTTACATTTTTAGGCTAAGTTAAAGATTTGATCATGGGCTTAAACCTTACATCTTACCTTTTTTTTTTTTTTTCAGTGAAGTTGGGCTGAGTTTAAGTTGATATGCGAAAGCTCAATAAGAAGGTGATTAACTAATCACTATTTATTATTTGTTTAGTTTTATTTTATTTACAAGTAAATGCAACAAAAGATAAATTACCTTCTAGATTATTTTATATTATTGAGAGAATGACAAATAAATCCTACCCGAATGAACAAATGACAATAGAGGACCATAAAAATAAGGTAATTATCTTGAAGTTCCTAAAAACTTACTAAACATCAAATTATTTATGGAATGACCACAATGCCTAGGTAAATGACAAATTTACAGTAACAAATAACTATTTTCATAAAAGGAGTGAATGGAATGGTATAAAAAATGACTATTTAAATAGAGAAATGGAAATGATTTCTCATATTATTTTAATCACTCACTTAATATAACCAATCATTTGTCTGGGTTTTAAACAACTCAAATGTGGATCCTCCTTCCATGCCAATGAGCACGGCGTGCTTATTACCTGTAAGGTGACTTGGGCCTTCATTTTCTTCTCAAATAATCTTTGTCATTGATTCTAAAATTTTAAAAATATTTTTAATATTATATTTATTAAAATAAAAATTTACAAAATTTATAAAAAAATTAATATTAAATTTGGACTGTTTTGTATGCTTATTAGAGGATGATTGCCAAGGTAGTCATTACACTTGAAGAGATCTAGACAATCTAAATTTAAACTTTTTTACTTTTATTTTATATTTATTTATATAAAAATATGTAAAAAAATAGAAATCTTTAATAAAACTAGTTATTACTAATATGGTCTATACAGATTCAATATAAATAACCCAATTTAATATTAATTTTTAATAATTTTTATAAATTAACTATCTATATATATTTTGTATACTACAGATATAATTAGAAAGGTTCAACTTGATATTCAAATTTTTTATAATTTTTACAAAGTGACCATTTAAATATACTCCACAGTCCAAATTTAATATCAATTTTTTGTATAACTTGTATATATTTATATTTTGATAAAATATAATATTAAAAATATTAAAAAATAATTTAAACTTAGCGATAAATATCATTTGAGAAAAGAAATGAAAGGTTCAAATTTAGGTGATCAGCATCCCGTGCTCATTTTGAGGATCCCTCAAATGTCTTCCTTTTTCAAAGAAATTTTGAGGAATACTAGAAGACCTTATTCAAATATCTTGATATCTGAGTAATATTACTATGTATCTCACTTTTTTTTTCTTGGTAATATCTTGTTTCTCAATTTTGTTCGGAATGTTTCATTACTATTTATTGAAATAATATATATTTAATTTAATACCCTCAAAAAAATATACATCAATGAAATAGAGTTTAAATATAAATTTTAAAGAATTGAAGAAAAAAAATTCTTCCAATCCACGGCAATAAAAAAGAAGAAAGAAAAAAATAAGATGTTAATTTAGTTGCTACTTTTATGCCTATTATCTCCCCCCACCCCCAAAAAAAAAAAAAAATCGAACGCATTGCGTGCATCCATTTATTAAATCAAGGGAATCTGAATTAAAATCAATCAGATCTCTGTGTTACTTTCCATTATTAGACGTTTTCAGTTTAAAATAGGATCCAATTTTGGCAAGATATGATACTGCCCTTTGAACTTCGCTCTCTGTTTTTCTTTTTTTTTTAAATGCCTCGCTTTCCTGTGTGTGCTATAAAAATGGCTTTTTGGGTGAAAAATTAGCTACCCAGCGGACTTCATTTTTACTCTTTACTTCATCCTTGACCTCTGGCTGTTGATTTTCTCTCCCCAGACCACCGAAAGGTAGCTTTCGTCACCTTTTTTTTACCCAGACGGTGCATTTAAGTATAATTATTATTTTTCAAGTAAAAGCATTAAAAAAAATTCTTCAATACTAAGACGGTTCGTAGTTCCTACATGTGTGTTCATAATGCTTCTCGTATCTCCACGTTCCTAGATCTCTGCAGCATCTATACACAATTTACAGAACCGGATTTTCCTCCTCATTTTTTGCTTCTTCTATTTTAAACTCGAAGTCTCAAATTCGTGCCACCTACCAATCGAAGCTGTAAGTTTTCTTGTTTTAAAAATTGCTTTTCAAATCTCGGGCTGGTTTAAAGTTGATCTTTTACATTCTATTTCAAGCTTCTCTTAGAATGAGTGCTTCGAAGAAAATGAGTTTCTTTCTACTCTGCAGTGCTTGGCCAATGTTCATTCATCTACAATTTGTCGGGTTTCTTACAGCTATTAAACAAGCATTGCTTCCAGTCATGGGATGTGTGAATTTCTGAAACCTGTTGGCAAGGTCCTGCATTACTCTTTCCTGTCTATCTTCTCAAGATACTTAAGAGTAAGTATGCATACAACACTAGTGATTTATTCATGTGAGTTGTTTCCGTATTGTCACTTTTTTTAATGGGATTTTAGTTTTGGTTATCAAGCTTGATTTCCCTAAGTTGCATTTTCCGGAAGAGAATGGTATAAAAAGTTCCTGTATCTGTTGATTTTAAGTTTTGGCTTCTTATCTATCTGTCTCTCTGCGTGCGTGCCTCTGTTTTTGGAATCTGACTGAGTTTATCATGTTTGTCTTCTTCTGATGGAAACCTGACAAGTTTCAATAGAGATCCTTTGCGTAGGTGCTAGGTAGTTTGATATTTAGTTGCCAAATGTTCAAAATGCAACTTCTCTTTTTAAGGCTTTCAGGGCTCTAAAGGAATTTCATGGACATGCCTGATCATTGAATTTTTTTTTTTTTTTTTTGGGTGACAAGGTTAGAGTTCTTTAGATCTCAATTATACCAGGTTAGAAAGGGTTTATTAAAAGCTAGTTCCCCCATCCCCTTTCCCTTTCTCTCTTTTAATTGTCCGGGTAGATTCACTTGTTTCCCAAATTGTAGGGGTCAACTTTTCTTTCGTTCAATCCTTGGCCATCGCCTGAGCTTCCAGTTTGAGAAGTTCATTAGGGCTTCCTCAGGAGCAGCCTAAATCTATTTTTGGATGGGGCATTCTGCAGCTGTATGGGACTATAGAGAAGCAATTAAGATTTCTAAGGACTCAAATGGAATTGATCAAATTCTGCTTCAAAACCCTCAAGGTGCTTCGGCACAGGTGAGAACATCTTGATTATGGATTTGCTTTAATTAATTATTATTTTAAAGTCAGTTTATGATAGATAGATTTGGTTCTTACGATTAATTTGTGTATGTAATTTAGGTGAGCTTGCATGGAGGACAGGTCACTTCATGGAAGAATGAGCAAGGGGAAGAACTCCTATTCTCCAGCAGCAAGGTTTTTGCCCCTGCAAAAATTCTGTTTGTTTGTTTTTTTCTTTTTGTGGATAATCCAAGCCATCCTTCCATAATGTAATAACTAAATTCTTTCTATTCCATATGGTCGGGGATATGGCACTGAATCATTTATAAATCAAGAAATATCCGTGAAATTGGGGTGATGAATGATCCTTCTTTTGATGTTTGTTACCTATATTAATTGCCAAAGGAAATAGTAATAAAAAAGAAAGGAACTCTTGATTGTATTTGAGCTTCGTTTTCTCATAGCTGCCTGACATAGTACATATTTCTCGCATCACGTTGCCTAATATATACAATAGTGCTACTATCCATAGGCATATGGTACCAATATGGCATTGAACCACCAGAGCTGAACATTAATTGGGTGAAAAGGCTTTGATGGCACGTGATAACCAACCAGCTATTTTATGATGTCTATAAGCAGTGATAGGAGTGACTGCCTTATTGGAACCTTGGTTGGCAGATAATAATATCAATAAATATATGAATTTTTAACCAAATTTACTGTATACGGAGGTTAGTTCTCAATTTTTCTCATGTTTAATGATTGTAGGCAACTTGCAAAGCTCCAAAACCAATGCGAGGAGGTATCCCAATTTGTTTTCCACAGGTATATTTAATTACTGTTTTTCTATGTTTCCCTAAACTTGCAACAGATATGACTCATGCATCTTAATCTTTTTTTGCTTTATAAGTTTGGGAACTGTGGATCACCAGAGCTACATGGATTTGCAAGAAACAAAATGTGGACATTTGATGATAATCCTCCTCCGCTGCCTGCAAATGATTCCAATGGGAAATCCTTTGTTGACCTACTACTCAAATCATCAGAAGAGTATGTGAAATGCTGGCCACATGGGTAGGATCCTGGATGCGTTAAATTGAAAGATTATGATACAATATAGTAGTTCAGAATCAAATTTCAAGCATTATTGAGCTAACAAAATGCCTAATTGTGTCAGTTTTGAGTTTCGTCTTCGGGTGGCTCTTTTGTTGAATGGAGATCTGATGTTGATATCACGAGTTAGGAATGTCAACAGCAAGCCATTTAGTTTTTCATTTGCATACCATACATACTTGCTGGTTTCTGACATCAGGTATGGATAGTTTATGTAGTTAAACCTCCTCTTATACACTGTATTGGGGTACTGGATCACTCAAAAAAGCTTTGTGGTTAGTACTCTACTTATTATTGACTTTGTCTCCTCTTCAGGAATCTACCGAGGTCTAATATCTGCATTGTTCATTTGAAACCATCATTTTCTGAATATCTGCATTAAATAAATTGTTCTGGGAGATTGCATACCGTGGAATTGTAACATCCAAAAGATCAGAGAGTACTATGTTCTCTCTTTAAGGCCTTATAAAGAGTAAAAACTAATATATGACCTTTTCATTTGAAACTGGCATTTTCTGGATACTCATGTGAGTACTGGAATTGTAACATTTTGTTGGGTCAGGGTTATAGTAAAAACTAAATTCAATTGTGTGTTGTAACAAAATACTAAGTTTTGAAGGAACTTCTAAAAGTAGCAAACTCCTAAAAGTTTGCAATGCTTATTATCTATTCAAATAGGCTGTTTTAGATTATATCAGTAATGGTATTTACATAGCAAGTGTATTATATGTATGCCCTTTAATTTCCCCCTCTTTGGTGATGCTGGGATTAAAAATTCTCTTTCTTCGAGACTGGAATTAGAGCTTACAAGTATTACTGTACTATGTATATAGTGAGGTGAGGATAGAAGGTCTGGAGACACTTGACTACTTGGACTACCTTTCCCAAAAGGAACGCTTTACAGAACAGGGAGATGCAATAACATTTGAGTCTGAGGTATGTCTTCTAGGTTATAAATGCTTGTAAACATGTCGGAAATCATGTTCATGGATTAGAAATCTGATGTTATTAATTTGCTGAGCTACTTTGCATCTCTGAGTGGGGATAGGACTTCCGTGATGCAATTAAATTGACACTGGATTGAGGTTACTGCAATTCTGCATTGTTAGTCTATACAGTTTTGTCAATGAAATGTTTAAGCTCACTTCTCTCTACTTTCGGTTTCTGGATGAAAAAGCTTTCAAATTGCACTCTTCTTTCATGGCAGGTGGATCGAGTTTATCTTAGCTCTCCAAATGTAATTGCTGTCCTGGATCATGAGAGGAAGCGGACATATGTTATAAGAAAGGAAGGTCTCCCTGATGTTGGTAAGCAGTAGGGCTGATAAACTTGGTTTTTTTCATGCCCTACTCACAAAAGAGGAAATTTTTTACTGCTGTGGCGTGTGAATTTTCATCATGTCTTGTATTGAGCCAATTCCTTCGTTGATGCTAAGAACATTAGTTTTAAATAGGAACAGAAAAGATAAGGTAATGTCTATCCTTTTTTAGCATGCTTTCTTTTCCTCCTCTGTCTGCAGCTGTGTGGAATCCATGGGAGAAGAAATCAAAATCAATGGTGGACTTTGGCGATGAGGAGTATAAGCAGATGCTTTGTGTTGATGGGGCATTTATAGAGAAACCAATCAATCTGAAGCCACGTGAGGAATGGACAGGGCGGTTGCAGCTCTCGGTCGTGCCATCGAGCTTTTGTAGTGAGCGCCTCGGTCTTGACAGAAGTGGTCTTTGAGAACTTTGTACAAAATCTTGCCACAAAGCTGTCTCGGTTTTAAGTTAAAAGTAGTATTAAGTTGTACAAAGAGCCCTTTTAGGAGTTGATGAGGTTGTATTCTGTAATATCTTTAGGCTTCCAATAAAAAAGCCTTATTCCTCTGAATGGCTGTCAATTTTCTTCCTATTTGTATGCTTTGTGGACTCCTGAAGCCTGAAGGTCTACCTATGGTGGCATCCATATTTATGTGATCAATGCATGCCTATTTATGGAGCACTGGATTTTCTGCCATTTTTCTTTTCGGTTTGACACGTTAAGAATTTTACGCGGGTTTTGAGGAATTGAACGCAGATTAACTTATTCCTGTGGATAATGGATTTTGCTTTTCCTTCAAGTGTTAGATTTACCGGTCTTGCAGGTGAGGAGGTTTTTTCTGTGGAAGCACGTGATAGTTACGAGTTTGACCAGTCACTATCTTAAATCTTACTTGAAAGGTTATTGTTGATCGGTAGGTAAAGAAATGTGTGAATGGCTAGAGAACCATCATGAGGAGAGATTAGAAGGATAAAACATTTTTATCTACATAATTTTACTTTCCAATTTAGTTTCTAAAATTATAACTGGGTTTTCATAATTTTGCTTGCTTCAATAAGGAGGAGCGGTCAAATGCTTCAACGTTTCTCCCCACACTTTTGATTGCAACAGCTTGGGAAGAATAAATGACATGGCTAGGAAGCTACTCTTTCACCTGTTAGGGCCTGGTTTCGATGCAGAGACATATGGGCTATAGACCAACCAGGCTTCCCACTCTGATTGTTGTTTAATTCTTTTAAATGATTCTATTTTAATTTAAAAGTAACTAATGACCATTATTTTAGGACCAGCGGAACACTGTAGACTTGAATGCTACTTAATGCCCATCTGAAAAAACTGCTTGTTTTTATTGGGCTAACATCATGGAGGAATTTGTTTTTCACCAAAAAAAAAAAAACAAGCGTATACTTTATCACAAAAAATGTGACGGGCATGTCATAAAAGGTTTTTTTTTTCCAATTTTATTTTTTACCACTCACCATAAAATGATTGAATCTTTTGAAAATGTTTATCCAGGTGCCTCGCTTTCATTAGATGATATATAAAGATGGTATCAAAATTTAATATTATTATAATTATGATAAGGATGCTATTTTAATTTTAAATAGTATCTTTCACCCATGAGTGTATTGTCCCAAAAAAACAATAAAAAAATCATGCGCCCTACGCAATAGAATAAATATGTGTGTGTGTATTGATTTGAATTTCCATTATGCCACAAAACAATAAAATACATAACAAAATACAAGTGGAATAGATCAAAAGAAGAATGATAGAGAGATCCTTAATTAATTTAAATTAGGTCATAAATTCTAAATTTTAAGAATTTTTAAGTTTGACTTTTAATTTTCCGACTTCATTTTGATGAATTTGCAACTTGTATTTTAAATTTTAATAAAAAAATAAATTTATTTATTGTTTAATCATGTTAAAACTAAAAAAAAATTACAAATTCATCACAATAAAATTATAAATGGAGAGATAAATTTGTAAATTTTTAAAATTTGACACTGGAAACTTAATTTAAATTAATTGGTGCTCTTGGGACCTATCTCTCGTTCTCTCTAAATCAAATCATAACACAATTTGCAAACCAAATATATTGAATCGGCTTCCTCCATATTTTATATATCATTATTAGATTCATTTGAAATAATAAGATTATAATATAAAAGTTGTACAAATAAAAATCTTATTTTAGTAAGAAATGTTTGTTTTGTAAAACTGTATTAATTTATTATTATAATATCAGGTTTCTTGAAAAAAAAAAAACGGCTAGAAAAAAAGAGGCAACCCATTAAAAAGGTTTGAATAGAAGAGACGCTTGATGAAACATCAAACAATTGTCACGGGGAAAAGGTTGTTACTTAGATGAGAAAAAGTAGAGAACAAATTTAATCAAGAAAGTGTTCAAAATAGTAAATATCAAAGCTAACATCATGCATGTCTGGTGAGATAATTAAAATGCACGCATTTTCTTTTAGCAAGCAATGCCACTTTTTTAATTAGAAAATGCTTTGCCACCAGAAGCAACTCCGTTAGTCAAGGGCGACAACTTTATTCGAATTAGAAGCCAAATATAGTTTCTTAATTTTGAGATTTTCTCCTCTTGCACCTTAAATCCCACTCTTCATAGATTTAAGGATAGAGATACAAATTTAATCATAAACTATTTTTTAATAAGTGTTTGATAACCTATACTATGAGTAGTGCAAAATAATTCATAAACTATAAACAAAAATAGAGCATGAGAGTAAATTAAGCAAAAAGATTGCGAACAAATTAAAATATATTAAAGAACAAAGAATGGCTCCTGCTACAGATCAATCGATGATCGACTCTGAAATGCTCTCAAAGTGAGGCCTCCACATAGCGACACATCCTTGACTTCATTCTCGATGCTTCGAGAGCTTCTCCAATAGGATATTGTTCAAGTAACGATTGGAAGATACCCTTCTCCTTCACCCTCACAAACTGTTGATGTTTCAGACTCGCCATTGCACAATGAGAGCCCTCTTACACCATCCCACAGGTGTGGCTATTGTTTGACCTCTTTCTCCCCCTTCTTGATGTTCCCAAATACTGCTGGCCAAAGGAGAGTCATCAGGGGAAGGAGCATAGGGCGTCCCCTCCTACTCTGCTAATGATGCATGACGCTTCTCGTTGGGAGCGAGGGAGGTCTAAGAATGAAAGAGAGGCAAAGACGAAGGAGTTAAGAGACTGGGTGAAAGAGAGAGGCATAATAACAGAAGTTAGACAAAATGGACAGAAGACTGCGATTCCTCCGTTTTCTGTAGCTGTTTTTTTTTTTTTTTAACACCATCTTATAATATAAACTATCCAATAGTCATAAAAAAAATAATTCATAATTAAATTTACACCTTTACTTCAAATTTAATGAGTTTCTGCTTTCCTTTTGTTGCACTTGACATGTCCTTTTACACGTGGTAAGGCAGGTTAAAGAGAATCAAGTACAAAATCAAATTCCTTTATATTAACTTATGTTGCGAAAAGACAGTATGGAATTTCATTCCCGTTAAGTGTTTAATTTTCTAATGTAATTTGGCTTTGCCCCCTTCTTTACCCAAAAAAAAAAAAATATTCATCTTTAACTGATTGGGGAAGGCATGGTCAAAATTTAATTAATGAGATATCCCCCGTCCTTTTGTTGTACTTCCACATAGGTGAGGTAAAAAATCAGATAAGTCCAAAGGTAGTATTAAATTTGATTCAACTTTAGGAACAGAACGTGTCATAATTACTCCGATACAATCATGGGATTATATCTATCATAGGCCAAAATTTGTGGATTATAACAAGCGTAGCACCCTAAATTCAGACAAGAACCATGCTAATAGTTCGAAATTGTAATTAAAATGTGGGGGGGGGGGGGGAATCTGGCCAAGAAAAATGTTGAAAAACAAAACTTGAACAGATACCGGGGAATGCATGACCAAAAGATTTATCACTCAACTGTTGTTGAAATGTTATCAAATGAAAGGGAAAACAACAAAATGAGAGGCTTGGGATGAAATCAGCCTGGGCCAACCATATTGTTGTATCAGTCAAATGTAACAAGCTTGGCAAAACAAAAGCTACGTTAGGATGGCTAAACACGTTTACCACAATGAAAAGAAAGAATGGCTAAACATTCGTGCACTTTACTTCCTGCTTCACAGTCAGTTCCTTATACAAAAATGTTTACAGGACAGGGCAACAAAGGGTCGAATCAAAACTGAAAAATGGGCAGACTACCTGCAATGTCTGAAACATAGGACCTCAAGATATAAGAAGGATAGCAGCATCTGGTTATATCAAATACTACACAGCTCAAAATGAAAGCAAAAAAGGAAAGTGTTTCTTACTCTCAGTAGAATGCTATACTCCACGCCTATACTCTAGGTCCTTAGTATTCTCCAGCAAAATCTGCCAACCAATGAAGAAATCAGATTAGCTAAGCCATGACAACAATATAATCTATGTCTAATTCACAATGTGAGGTTCTTACTTCTCTTATGTAATTTGCGACAGCCTTGCATCCTTCAATTGCCAGTTGCATAACATTGTCCAATATGTCAATTGGTAGTTTAGAGTCCATCTATATCACAGAAACCAAAATAAAATGAGAATTGTTCGTGACAATGTGTCTTAAGGTCCAAAAGATAAATGAAAAATAGGAAAAGGTTTATGAACCCTGGAACCCCACGCCATCAAAGTAAACTAAGAACCTTCAGCACTAAATTATTGAACAAAGCAGCTGGAAAATGCAGGATAAAGTTGTAATAAGAAGAAATGGAGTAACAAGAAACGCACTGCACTATTAAGAAAAACAACAACAACAAACCTTTATCTCACTAGGTGGGGTCGGCTACATGGATTGCAAAATACCATTGTACTCTATCATTTATCAAGCTTTTAGGAATATTATTCATTGAGAGATCGCGTTCAACAACTTTCAAGGGTGTTCTTTTAGGCCTTCCTCTACCCCTCTTAATCGGACTCAAAGTTATATGTTCTACTCTTCTCACTGGTGCCTCCCTGTGAGAAGAGTGGAACATATAACTTTGAGTCCGATTAAGAGGGGTAGAGGAAGGCCTAAGAGAATACTCTTGGAAGTTGTTGAACGCGATCTCTCAATGAATAATATTCATAAAAACATTAAGAGAAATATGTTTCTGAATAGATAGTTCAAGGTTTTTAATCTCAAGAGAAGAATGTTGGTCAAATGCAGTGTGGCAACTTGTTGACAAAGAAATTAACCCATAAAACGTTCAAAGATAGGCATGAACGTGAAGTCCAATGCTAAGAACAATGAAGGACAGCACTAAATGTCCAGAGCTCCAAACCCATTTCCATTTTAATTTAGAATATACAGGATGCATTGCTGTAGTTTTTGTGTGCATTATGGGTTTCTTTTCCAGTTACAGAGAAATGGCTCCAGTGGGCCAAGCTGATCGATTTGACCATGCTAGTCTTGAGACCTCCATTGTGCATGAGACATTGAGACAAATATATCCATCACAGGAATTAGCACTGTTTCGCATTAACAAGAAAAGTAGTAGTATTTTAACCATAACCTAGGAGGTGAAAATTAATTATTTTGTTGGCTATAAAAGAAACTGGGAGAACATAAAAGATACATGCCTGAAAAAGTGTCACTTTATCCAATTTGGGCAGAAATCCCACAGTTACATCAGGGCCTCCAGCACTGTCTTCTACATAGTTCAAATCTGTGCATATGGCATGGCAACTTTCAATATTTGCGTAGGCTCATGCATGGCTAAGTTAAAATCCAATCAAAACAAAGAAAACACCACTTGCCCAAAGAAAATTTTATGCAGAACAACAGAAATTTACCAAGAAGAGGAGTGCTGTTAAGGTATCCAGCACTACAAGAAGTAACAAGGTCACGCATAGGGATACCAGCATCAGCAAGGGCCAATGTTGCAGCATTTATACAAGCAGATCTTGTTCCTGCATCAGTAGTGTCAAAACAAAATTCATTCAATCCTCAACTATGAGCACCTAAAATGAAAGCATGGAGGCCTGTTTCAGTATTGCCCGAATAACTAACAGAAGACAACTTTTTGAAAGAGCGCTGGAGGGAATGAGAGTAGTATGACAAGGAGCTGCTGATTCCTATTTTGGGATTTCTATTACCTCCATCTGCTTGGAGAACTTGGACATATATATCAATCTGCAGAGTGAAGTACCACATAATCATCAAAAATAATAGGCTGAGAGCCTAAGACATCAAAAGTTACAGACATACTGTCTGATTTTAATAAAACCTGGGAACGAGGCATCAAATGTGTCATTATGCAAGCTTCCATAGTTTGTCGGATAACTAGTGAAATTTCTGTGGATCTCCTGTAGCATGAGAAAGTTTCAAAAAAAAGGATCACGGATCTGGATTCTTGAGAATGGAGAAAAAAAAAGCCATCAATCTAGTGAACCAACTTAATACCATATCATCTCTAAGACAAATGAAATGAGATACATCATTATAAATTACTGGACCATTGGAAATTAATATGAAAACATATTTGCTCAAAGTACAATGCAGATGGTGAAAGAATATGCCTGAGGGCTGCAATATTCTAACGTCTAAATCAATGACAGGCTGACAGCTCTTAACATAATCAATATACATATATTATACTTACTTGGCCTCTCAAATCTCAAACAGAAATGTCTATATTCTTTTATTCCTTGATGTTATGAACAAATAGCCAGGGAAAAAATATAAAGATCGTGTTAGTACAATTCCTGACTTCCATGTCTCTTACAAACACCTCTGGCATATAGGACCCACTTCTTGATCAATGTAAAATATTTTCAATGGTACCACTTCTTCGGTTGAGTTTCTCATCCAATATGAATACCGCATTTCCTTCCCATCAATGTCAATCCAACACTATCATTTCAAAACATGCATTTACAAACTATATGCATGAATAATACTTAAACGTTCGTACAACATGAAATTGCAAATAAGATATAAGGTTTAGACTTCGCAGGATTCCTTTTAGTAAATGAAAATATTGCAAAAAGTCTAGGAAGATGAAGTGAAAAAGAAAAACCTGTCACCCTTTGGCTTCCGCCTGCTATCTCCTGTGCTAAAGGTAGCCATGCTGTATTCACATCGAACCTACAAACATCAAAGAACATACACAGTCATAGAATATCCAGCGCAATGTTAATTAACATGCAAAGCAATTCTAAGTAATCAATGTTGAAATAAATTACCAAAGCGTGGTCATTGCTTTGTTGACTCTTATTCTGGACCTGGTGTGCAGAAAGATTAATTTAAATAAACAAAAGCAACAACGCCTCAATCTAAAACGCGTTTCTGCACCGTATTCTTTTGAAAATTCATCTAGCAGAACGAGACAATAGTTAAAGGATACCTCCCTGGGGCCATAAACCGCGGCAAGCACTTTCGTATTGCCCATCTCGAAAGTAGCAGAACTGAAAATCGAAACAGAAGAAGCCAGTCATCAAATACTCTGAAACATATAAAAACATTGCATATATGAAAAGGCATGAAACTTGAATGTTAAACAGTTCAAAGCAAATTGAGAACAAATTATAATGAAAGCCAAGAAAGCAAACTCGTCATACCCGTCAGCTTTCGCCACTGCCCCAATCTCTGCTCGAATCTGTCGCATCTGAGATTTAAAAAAGAAAAGGAGATATAAAATGGTGATTCTTAGAAGAGCAAAAAACCAAAAGGCCAAACTATTTATTCAAAATAGGCAAAGAGATTCAATTCCGGAAAGGGGGGAAAAACAGCGACAAAGACAAAGAGATTGAACATGCTTTTGAGAATTGAAAGAGAATCAGAGATAACAAGTACCTCCATGGGCCGGCGACCATCCAAGCGAAGACCTTCGGGGCTGACGTACTCCATCTCCGGCGGCAAATCTAGCAGTGAGCTTGGAGGGAAGGAAGTGCCGAGTCTCGAGTGTACGCACGAAAAGGAGGCTAACTCAAATCAAGCCTGGCAGGCGACGTCGTTTCCATCCTTCGTCCTTCGCGGGGTAATTTGGGCTTCGAAATATCGGTTCAAAAAGATAACTACTATTATGTTATGGATATTAGGATATTATGTACTTGTTTATTATCTTAAATTTTTTAATATTTTTTAATTATTATTATCTTATAAATTTTATTTATTTTAATTGATATGTTTGTATTTATAAATAAAAAATACCTTAATTATATCATACACATTGAAGTAAAAAAGTTTTCTATTCTCTTTTTTTTTCAATATAATTTTCTCTCGTCTTCTCTTAATCTTTCTTGGTATCACTAAGTGAGTATCTTTATAATTATTGAGTTAGAGATATAATTAATACTCATGCCAATAAACATATTGTGTGTTACATTTAGAAGTATGAGGCACAATTTAATTTTAGAGTAATGGATTTAGAAGTTATCCAATATAGTGAATCCTAAAGTTATTCATATAGAAAATATAAGGTGGATCTCAAAGATATCCACATACAATATAAGGTGGAACTAGAAGATTATCGCATATAATATAAAGTAAATTATGAAATTATTTATTGATTGTTATGGGTCCTGAAGTTATCTAAACAAAATATAAAGTGGATCCTGAAGATATACATTAAACTTAAAATGTATCTTGAAGTTTTATATCCACATGATATAAGGTAGATCTTAAATATATATATATATATATATATATTTGTTTGTTTGTTTGTTTGTTTGTTTGTTTAATTATCCTACATTTAATTCATTATTTATACATATAATTCATTTCACTATCTATATAAAATTTTTAGAAAAGTATATCCTAAAATTATCTACATATAATACAAAGTAAATCTTGAAGTTATTTACAATTAAAATAACTCATTTATTTAAATTTTTATGCATCTTAAAGCTATCCCTATAAAATATAAAATAGGTCTTGAAATTATTTACATTTAAGATAATTTATTATTTAATTTAATTTTTTATATAATCGAGAATCGTAGTTACCAATATCTCGGTTTGTTTATTTCATACGTTCTGATAATATCTCAATTTCCTTTTTTTTATTATATAATAATATGAAATTACCAATTTATTGATGTAGATCGCACGTTCCTCTCAATTTCCAATAAATATGTGCTGTTTATAATATATGACGTTGCTTCTTTGTGTGTGTGTGTGTGTGTTGATTGTTTTATTTTCTTTATTTACTTTAATTCAATTCTTATGCAGTAAGATAATTAGTAGCCATATTAATTACTCTCTTCAATAAAAAATGCCTTGCATTTCTTTAAAAGTTGAGTGTATAAAAATATGAAGTATTTTGAATCTTTTAAGATATAATCATTATCTTTTTTTTTAAATGATCCCATCGAATATATTAAATTATAATCTTTTCAGGGTGAAACACTTTATTAAATAAAGATAAATATGAAAAATGAGATTAGTTTAAAGATAAGTTACTTTTTTATTGGGAGATGAGATTTGATTAAAAATGTCTTATATTTTTTAACAGGAGGAGTATTTGATTATGTTATTGGGTGGCCAAAAACTATATATCATTATATGGGTAGAAACCATATTTGATTTTTTAAACATGACAAGAATCGTATTTGATTTTAAACATAGCCAAAAGCCACGTTTGGTTTTGTGACTATAAATTGTAGTTGAATTTGTTATTATATGGCCATAAGTCATCTTAATTTTTATTGTGATTATTATGTGAAAGGATAATCTTACAACTTTAATGATTTATATAAACTTTGTGTAATTTTGATGAGCATCTTGATTATTAATTCAATTGTTTTAACTATCATAGTTTTGAAAGCTAATAATTCAAAAGAAATTGTCAAGTCTAAAAAATTATTTGCCGATAATCTTAAAAATTATAGTCAATAGAGTTTATGTTATAAAAATTATGGCCTGTAGTCATATAGACATATTGTCTATTGTTTATTAAATTGGAGGAATGTTAATGATGGTTATTATAAATGATTATGAGTTGTTGAGTAAAATGTCAGTGAATGATTATACTTGTTTAAAGAAATTTATCCACAAAGTATTATAATCAAATACTCAATTATTATTGTATTTACATATTGAAGCAAGTGTTAATTTGTAAATACTCATAAGAGTTATTTTCTTCCTTCTATGCACGTACATATTTCAAATTTTAAAACACATATAAAATTATTTTCTCACGGTATGCAAAGATATATTTAATAACTCTTACATACACATATATGTTTAAGATATTACATACATTATGCATTTTAAATAATGATAAAGTTCCTTGTAAAACTATTTATACATGTGTCGATAGTTACAATTGAGATATAGAACATATTTATGATTGAAATAAAAGCACTCATTATTAATATGCAAGTCATGCAAAATGTACATGAGTGAAAATCATGAATATATAAAAGTGATTATATGTGGATAATTCATATATATTACTTTGTTAAGTGAGTTCATTTCAAAAAAAAATTTGAGTCATTTTAAGAGTCCTCGGAGATCAATTTTGGAGAAATTTTTGAAAAAAATTATCTTTTTTGAGAACGAATTTATAGATACAGTTACATATACTCTTTAAAGTCTTTATAGTTAACTTGTTGATTTTTAATTAAAATGATAATATATAATAATATTTATATTCAATGATTGTGAAATTTAAACCTGACTAAATAAGTTATAATCAATATATAAGAAATAAAATATTTGAGATCACCTTAATTATTGACAATATCAACACTGTAATGTTGATTGATTGTAAAGTCTAAAAATAAATAGTAAGAGTTTCAAGGTATTTATAAAAAATTATAAACTTATAACTACTTGTGTTTTGTTTCCCCAAGAATTTAAATACAAAAAAAAAAAATCTTTGCATGATATGTAAATGAAAGAATTAATAATCCTTTATTTTGAAATAAATGGTATTATTGTTTATGTATATTGGGTTATATAAGATTGATGGCACCTTTCAAAGATTTCTCATACCCAAAAGCAAAATTCATCTGTGTCATGTTATTTGCATTAGTTTCAAATAAGTTATTAAGTTTTATGAATTTTTATCATATCGGATGTCATATTAAGACTGTAACCAAAAGTTCACAATGATCGACAAACATGTTTCAGTAAACTGAAAGATTGTTATTACTTTGGTTTAGTCTACTAAAAGTATGCTGACATTATTTGACATAGCTGGTTAGATGATCCCAAATAAATATTGATGCAAGGATTATTGAAAATTCACAATGACGTTTATGAAAGAACTAGAATATTCTTCCTAAATAGCTAACACATTACATGCTTCAAGAATTCTCTTTTGCTCTTTAAGAAAAATTATGATATTGTCACTAGCAATAATTGAGACTGGATTCCAAATATTTATGGAATACATTAAGTTGAAATGGGCCTATTTAAATATCATGTGAATCATATGAATATTTAATGAAATTGATATATACATCTATAAGATAGTTATACATATGTATCAATTTACAATCAGGAGTTTGTAAAAAAGGAAGAACTATTATATGCACAATTTCTAATATGGTGATCAATATGAATTGCTTGAAAATGATAGTGGTTTTGTATCTTAAGCTCTCAATGACTATGACATGAAGAAAGGCCTACTCATTAGAATGGCCTATCAAAAAAAATTATTTACGCCCCCAATAAGATGATTAGAACAAAATTTTTCATTTAAATATACAAGTTTGCAATCACAGCACCTAAATGCATCAAGCCAGTAAAGTATTGTAAATACCTCCCACCATTAGTTGGCTTTATGTCAAGAGCTAAAAATTGAAATTGTGTGATAAAGGCTCCACCACTATGTATGAAATATGCTTTCAAAAAAAGTTAGGAATAATGCTAAAGTCTTTGTAGTTGAGTGAAATTTAATTAAGTTGTGATATGTGGCATGTTTTTAGAAATTATTTTGTAATACAATTTCTAAAATTATTTTCCAAAACAAAATAAAATGAAAATCCATTTGGTTATATCAATTAAAAAATAATTTTAAAATTAAAAATAAATTGATAGTGATGATTATAAGCAATTAATGGTGATAATTAATAATAAAAATTGATCAAAATAACTATAATTCTCAATAATTAAATGTAGTGTATTTTAAAAACAAAGAAAATACAATGAAAACGATTTGAAATTATTTCTATTTTTTTGTTTTTAAAAACAAAAAATTGAAATAGTATTGGAAACAATTAAATAAAAAACACTTATTCAAATAAGTTTTTAAATTTTTTCGTTTTCAAAACTAAAAATAGTTTTTAAAAACAGAAAACAAATAGGTCATAATATTCTTCTTCTTCTTGTTTGTTTCTAATGAAACAAAATGATATTTCTATTGAAAACAAATGGATTTTTAAGGCTTATATTGCATAGTTTGTAATCCCGAAAAGAAGGGGAGATGATGAAAAGCTGAAAATTAAAATATATGAATGCATTATTAATATCTTATATAGATCCTCGTATATAAATTAAAAGTTCATATAATGTTGTATTCATGAAATAAAATAACTACCAAATATATAAATATTAGTAGAAAGAAGAAATTTCAAATTCATGCTCCAACTAATAATGCTCTAAGGCTATAAATAAAAATGAATCACGTCTAAAGTATGGAAGGCTAATCGATTTCGAAGAAAGAAAATCTTATAGAAAGAAAAAGGAGCAGACAAATAAGATGATCACATTGAGAAGGTTGGCATTTTAAAAGAAGCCAAAACATAACTAACTTTTAAGTTTGTAGAAGTGGATCAAGTACTTCATAAATAATAAAAAGGTATTTAGAAGTCATTTCAATGTGAGAAATGATAAAATCAAAAAGATGAGAGTTGTTGACAACAATTTCAACGAGGATGAAAAAAATTTGACATCAAATGAGGATCTTGATAGAATGTGAATAAAAGGCTAATCAGATTTAGAGAAAATGACACAATAAAAGTAGAATTACATTCATTTATTTGGGGTATAAAAGTTATAA